GAAAATATACTGGAGCTCTGTTCCTTGACGTCCATTTACCATTGGTGGAATAGACTTTCATTTTTTGTATCTGAATTATTGTAAAAGGTTTTGCTACTCAAAGATCTTCTGCTCCACCCTATCCCTCCTCCCCCATTTATTATTCATAACATTGCCACACTCTTTTCTTTAAACACAGTGTCACTTTAGGCCCCCACTCAAGAACCTGTAATGTCCCCTTCTGAACCTGTGTATTATCACATTTGGGATTAAGGGGGGGAAAAAAGAAACCACTGCTACAGATAGGCTTAATACCTTTTGTAGCAGGTATATTTCCTTCCCTATCACAGTTCCTTCCACAACCACCAGGAATGAAGTTTTTCTTAATGATTCCAGCTTACATTAACCTCTTCCTTAATTTTCTATTGCTTTAAGTCTGTGGAATACAAGTTTACTTTTTATATTTTGTGTCAGCACATACCTGCTGTATAATCTCAGTCAAGAATCTTACCCTTTCTGTACCTTTGTTGCCTCATGTGTGAAATGCTTTCATGGGCTTTCAGTGAAGACTGTGGTAAAACATTTGTTATCAGCTATCTTACTATCATTCTGTATCTGTTTCACCTGTTACGTCCTGCCTCCAAATAAAACTGCAATGAGGATTTTCCGAAACCCAGTTAATACACAACTGTGTTAAATAGGTACACATTCTTATGACTCTTTTTTTTTTTTTTTTTTTGAGACAATCTTGCTCTATCGCCCAGGCTGAAGTACGGTAGCACAATCACAGCTCACTGCAGCACTGCCCTCCTGGGCCCAGGCAATTCTCCCACCTCACCTTCCCAAGTAGCTGGGATTACAGGTGTGTGTCACCATGCCCGGCTAATTTATTTTTATATTTTTTGTAGCGACAGAGTCTCAGTATGTTGCTCAGGCTGGTCTTGAACTCCTGGACTGAAGTGATCTTCCTGCCTCAGCCTCCCAAAGTGTTGAGATTACAAGTGTTGAGCCACTGTGCCTAGTAGGACTCGTTTTTATTATTTTTTTAAGATATGTTGCCCAGGCTGGGGTGCAATGGCCATGCACAGGCACAATCATAGCATACTACAGCCTCAAACTCCTGGCCTTAAGTGATCCTCCAGCCTCAGCCTCCCAAGTAGCTGGGACCACAAGCACATGCTACCATACCTCGCTTTGACTCTGCTTTTGATTTAGTCACTATTAGTGGGACGGATGTTAAGTAACTTAAAATTTCTGTCACACCTATCAGGTATCTTATGTCATGTTGTATCATATAATGATTCTCTTCTCTTTCCAACATGTTTAAATGCTTAAGTTTATTGAGTAAGTACATCTTCTTCCATTAACTACTTCAGTATTGTGCACAGTAAGGAAGTGATGTGAATCAATAATGACTTTTCAATATCCAGTCATATGACATTCAGCTTGACTCAGATCTAACTCCTTTTAAGCTCACAATTCGGTACTTCATTTTTGAAAGAAAAGATGTATCTTGAGCACACAATTTAGTAGTTGGCTCATTTTAAAACTGTAATGTTAAAAGAAGAAATGTTAAACATTTCCCTCTGAATTTACTCAACTTTTTTTTTTTTTTGAGACAGGGCCTGGCTTTGTCTCTCTGACTGGAGTGCAGTGGTACAATCATGGCTTACTACAGTCTTGACCTCCCAAGCTCAAATGATCCTCCCGTCTCAGCTCCCAAAGTAGCTGGCACTATAGCTGCACACCACCACACCTGGACAATTTTTGAATTTTTTTTTTTTGTAGAGATGGGGTCTTGCTAGGTTGTGCAGGCTGTTCCCGAAATCCTGAGCTCAAGGGATCCTCCTGCCTTGGCCTCCCAAAGTGCTGGGACTGCAGGTGTGAGCCACCATGCTTGGCATAGTCAACATATTTTAATACAGCAAAATGGCCTATAAACATCTCATTCACTTACTCATTAAGTTTTTAATAAAAAACCCACTAATGGAAACAAAAAAATTTTTAACCCATTACTATAGTCCCAGCTACTAGAAAAGCTGAGGTGAGAGGATCATTTGAGTCTAGGAGTTCAAGCTCAGCCTGGGCATCATAGTAAGATCCCATCTCTGAAAACAAATTTTAAAAAAAATTTTAACTCCACTAATGAACAACAGACTTCATGTAAAATTTGGAAATCAGTAACTTTCTAGACTAATTTATTGAATAATCTAAATGATGCCTTTTACAAAGGATAATTCTAACAAACATAGAAAAATATTACTGTATTTGGAAATTTCAATTTGTGTAACTTCAAAAAACTACAAATTAAGCTGAATACAGTGGCTCACACCTGTAATCCCAGCACTGTGAAGGTGCTGAAGCAAAACGATCACTTGAGGCCAGGAATTCAAGATTAGCCTGGGCAAACATAGTGAGACCCCGTCTTTACAAATACAACAACAAAAAAAATTTGTAATAAATTTTTTAAAAGTGCAAATTTAGCCTGGACAACATAATGAGACCCCATCTTTACAAAAGTTTTTAAAAATTAGTCAAGCATGGTGGCTCACATCCATAATCCCAGCTACTCAGAAGGCTGAAACTGGAGGATTGCTTGAGCACAGGAGGTTGAGGCTGCAGTGAGCTGTGATCAAACCACTGTACTCCAGCCTGGGGGACAGAAGATCCTCTCAAAAAAATTATTTTCAAAAATGCAAATTGAAAATTTCGGTGAAAATACGAAAAACCACATCCATTACAAGGAACTAAGTTTAACATAACCCCTAAATGGCCCTAAGATTTCCATTAGAAAAGTGTACTCAATTTAAACAAAACTAAACAGGTAATATCATTCACACAAGTTTTTCACTCTTTTATAGCGTTTCAATATTCTTCTCATTACCAGAGTTATCTTATATACCTGAATGTTATGTTGCAAAAAAAAAAAAAAAAAATTAAAAAATAAACTATTAAAAAAAGCCCAAATATTGTATTATTTACATGTGATTACAGAAAACATTTCCAAATGGTGTAGTTTAAATAATGCAATTTTTCCAACACTTTATACTTAGTGTATACAAAAATACTAATGATCTAGAACTAATTTTCTAGTAGAGTAACATACATGAAATTACCTACATGTCCTAATGATTCTAAAGTATTCATAGAACCACTGTGTATTTTTAACTTACACTGGGTGACTATTTTAAATACAAACCTACTCCATAATGTGATCTTTCCAAAGTAACAACAGCTAAAGGATCTTATATACAATCTGAGAATCCATTATTATAACTAAATTTGTAGGAAACTTATGACTTAGTTACATTCAAGAACAAAGTTCCTGATAACTTTATATTCATGCAGATAAGTGAAATACTGTAAAAAAAAAAAAAAAAAAAAAAAATTAGTATTTCTTTCCCCACAAAGAAGCAAGCAAACAAAAACTAAAAGTGATTATCTGGTAAAAACTCGGTATAAAGACAGAGAGTAAGAGCTGCTTGGCTAACTTAGAAATTAAATTTACTTAAATGTCTACCTTAAAATGTCTAAGGTATAGGAAACATCTTCAGGTTTTCAATTCAGGACAAATGTTTAATTTGTTTCTCCATCAAAAAAGACACACAATATTTTCTAAACAGAGAAAATAAGCTATGAATTGAATATTGAAAATTTTAAAGTATTTCAAGTAACTGATTAATAATGTGTTGTATACATAAAACAATTGTTTAACAGTAAGACTTTGTATTAATAAGCTGCACAACAGACAGAAGTTTATTCCTCCAACTATGAAGTACTTGTTTCTGGGCATCCAAATTTTCATAAACCTTGAAGTGGGCACTGATGCTGTAAATGTAATCCTAAAATAATTTATCTTCCTTCAAAAATCTCTGTCATCGTGACTTTACATACCACACACACACAAAATACCTGGAAATAATTCAAATGTATAACAATAGGTGTATGTCATACATAAGAATACTATACAGAGTTTAAAAAGAAAACTAGATCTACATTGTTAACATGAACAAATATTCAAAATGAATGTGTGAAAAATGCAAGCTGCAGAATACATGTAAGAGTATGATATCAACTGTGTAAAGTTTAAAAACACACAACAGACTACATATTATTTATGGATACATACATATGCAGAAAAGGTATAAAAGCATGTACACAAAGAATACACATCAACTTCAGAATAGTGGTTACCTATGTAGGGGATGGCGAATGTAAAGAACGGGATGGATACAAACAAGCTTTAACTCTATCCATAATGTTCAATATTACAGAAGTATTTGAAACAAATATGGCATAACGTTAACATTGTTAAATCTGGTGGTGTTACAGTAGACACCCATTATTCTCTGTACTTTTCAATTTTAATATATTTCATAATAAAAATAAAAACATTCACAGAATAAAAAAAGCTCGAATCACTGCTACCATTTTCAGATTAATCAGGCATGCTAAAACACAACACACATTGTCTTTCCCAAATAAGACAATAAATATTAACAGAAGATGTTACATAATTGGCAATGTACACTTTTATAAGGTATCCATTGATTACTATATTAAAAATACACAACAATTAAACAGCAGGATTTAATGCTTCTACTTCAAAACCTCTACCTTTACTTGAGTCAAAGGATTTAATTTCACACCACAAATAGGCTTTCCTTGCTTTAAGAGTATCCCTTTGAATTTTGTTTTATGTCATTTCCTTTAAACATGACTCAGAACAAAAGGTTTCGTGTACAAGGTATAGAAGAGACTTGACTAACTACAGTTAAATAATACTAATAAATACATCTTAGAATAAACCAACAGTGGCTCAATCCAAAAATGGTAATTATCACCAGTACAAAAACTTTCACTTTTCATTCTGAAACTTTTAACCTGCAAGAGAAATACACATGATCTCTGTTTACCAAACATGTTTTTTTCTTGTCAGGAAAGTTTTCCCACCTTTGTCAGATTAATACTTCCTTGATCACAGATGAAGTCTTTCAAATTAAAGATAAACAACTACTTGCCTGTTGTTTCTGATATGCAGTATTTGGATTTATCTTTGATTCCAAGAGTAGTGATCCTGAAAGATAAAAAATAATATATAATAAGTCTCAGATGATAAAACCCTGAAAAAAATAAGAATACACATTAAAGTCGGGCACGGTGGTTCACATCTGTAATTCTAGCACTTTGGGAGGCTGAAGCGGGCAGATTACGAGGTCAAGAGATCGAGACAGTCCTGGCCAACATGGTGAAACTGTCTCTACTAAAAATACAAAAATTAGCTGGGAGTGGTGGCGCGTGCCTGCAGTCCCAGGTATGCGGGAGGCTGAGACAGGAGAATCGCTTGAGAGAGAGAGAGGAGGCAGAGGTTGCAGTGAGCCCAGATCACGCCACTGCACTCCAGCCTGGCAACAGAGCAAGCCTCTGTCTCCAAAAAAAAAAAAAAAAAAAAAACACACATTAAAAAAACACACACCACTCGCAAACTTTTCATGTCTTTTTACCCAGTTGGACATCTTAACAAAATGTATTCAAATTCACATTTTCTCTCCAAATCTAGGCTTCATATTTAATCTAAAATATTTCACCCTATTCCCATACACCCTTAAAGGAAATATTCATCTAAAACCAACATTCAAACCAAGGAATAAGGAGACTAGATGACTATTAAAATTTTATTGAAATAAAAATTTTAAGGTCTAAATGACCACTTCAAGCCATTCTTTTTAACAAAAGTTGTTTTATTGCATTCCCAGTTTAACAAATAATGCAAATTACAAAACAAAATCATGACAGGGATTAAATACTTAGTGTAGAAATTACAGTGCTGCATTTATCCTTTTCTCGTGAAGAACAAAAGAATACCTTCTGTAGAAATAAGTTATAACTATTTAAAATAAAAGGGAACGAGCAAGAATACAAAATATGTCAAGAATAAACCTAAGATTATTTTTCTAACTGCCCATATCAGTTGTTCAAATCAAGTCCAGATTACACTATAAAAGGCATTTTAATTACGGCTCTACATTTTGTAATTTAAAATACTTCACATGACTACAATAAACCAAAGAATACAGCAGTTTACAACCCGCTCTGGTGTTCCAACTTGCTTAGATTGTAAGGCATTCACTTTCTCATAGCGCCTTCTACAAAGGCAGCCCGAAGAAATCCCAGACTAAAGATGTATGTGCTTGTGTGTCCATGTATCGTGGCAACAGTCAGCAAATACAGCCAGGAAAAGGTGCCTTTTGGTTTTCCCCAACACCTGTCGACTGTGGCACCTGGTTGGTACAAGTGTTTTTGTTTTTGTTTTTGTTTTTTAACGACACTCGGAAAGAAAAGTTTCGCTAAACCGTTTGTACTAGACGTATAATGGATAAGAAAATAAAGGAATAAAGGGGGAGGAGGGCGACATCAGTACCTAGTCTCTCACTAGTTCCTCCCTTCTCTCTCACACTCTCCCCTCTTTAAAAGAGGAGGGACTGGAAAGGAAGGAGTCCAATCCTTAAGAGGAATGGGAGGCGGACAGAGTCTCGGTCTCTGAGGATAAGTCCAGTCAAAAGTACAGTAGTTTGTTTTTGCCGTACACAAGAGTCAGCTCAGAACCAACGCGCTGTCCCGAAGTGGTAGCAACGGTAACGGGCCCAGGGCCCTAAACCCCTGGCTGTGCCCGGATCAGAGGCACTATCCCCTATTCTACGGTTCCGATAACCTTACCGTCGGACTCTGCCCGAACGAGCAGCGACATCCCCTTGAGCTCCTCCACGTAAGTGGAGGAGACGTGCCCGGTGCCTCGGTCGTCCCATTGCCGGTCTTCGTTCAGGGTATAGACCTTCACTCGCCGCCGTGTATCCGACATGGTGGCTGCTGTCTCCACCGCTCCAGCCGCCGCCTCCTCGCTCACCTCGTCCGCGCCCCTCACTCTTGGGAGACGGTAGACGCGGTAGTGGCGGTGGCGGCGGCGGCTCCAGAGAGGCCCGAATTCACCATGGCTTCAAAGGTTCAGCCGCGAGAAGGGGTGACAAGAGCCACTGAGACCCTCCGCCCGGAGGCCTGGTTACCTCTCACTTCAACCCCGCATACACCCACCCTCCCGTCCCTTTGCCCCACAGGGCTCGCTCGCTCTCCCGCCGCCGCCGCCGCCGCCGCAGTAACTACTACAGATCCGCCATCTTGTAACCCGACTCTCTCTGCCTTTCTCTTCCTCCTCCAGCAGGCTCGCACGGGCTGTCCTAGCAGGGGCTACGGCGGCCGACAAGTCCCATGAACAGCACCTCCGCTTCTGCACGCGCTTCCCAGGCCGGAGTGCTCGGCGCTCTCGCGAGGGGGTTACCCGACTAGGGCGGGAGTACTTCAGCGAGACTTCCTCCTCTTTCGGCCCCGCCTTCTGGCGCGGGGTCGCAATTGGGCGGGAGGTTCTCGCGATCTCCCGGTCCCCGCCTGAGCCGCGAGAGGCCGCTAGGTGGAAGGCTAGTGCGGTTCTGCACTTCGTCGGGTTGTTGGCTTGCAGCAGGGTGTGACGTTCCGAGCGACTCAGCTCTGAGGAAAAAGCAAAGCAAACCGGGGAAGTACGTAGCCTTGAAGCGGAGTAACCAGGGACAGAAAGGAAAGAAAAGTGCTTTCATACCCTGACGGAAGGAAGCTCACTCCGTCCGCCTGAGGGGGAAAAAAAAGTTTAAACCTTTCTGTGAAAAAGAAAAAACGTGGAGCCCTTTCAGCCGAATGGAAGCCCACTAAACCTCGTTATGGAGTCTGTTATTCAGCATTTGCCCAGGAATTGTCTATGGACACAACTCTCCAGGCAATTCGTGCAAAAGTGTGTTGACGAATTCCTGTTTCCCACAGAGCGCCTCACCGTTAAGGCTCTTAGTAGCTGGCGATTGAAAAGCACAATTTCCGTTTCATGAAAATACAGCGCTCTTCTTGTTTTTGTAACCTTGCAAAGTAAATCTGCAGATAAGTTTAGGGAAGTGGCGGGGAGCTACTTTCCTAACACATGTGTGATTTTTTTGATACTTCTGAGTTTCTCGTGGGCATTTCCTGCGTTCTCTATAGGGGTCTTCTGCACTGAATAAGGGAAGGAGGAATTCTCTGCATTGAGGTTATTATGGAACATTGTGCGGTAGATATAGTCACGCGCTGGGTCGTAGTAGCGTGTCGTTTATTTCAGTACCAGCTCGCTCTTGGTAGAATCCCTTTGTTCGTTTTGTTGTTGTTTTAGATAGTCTCCTCTCTGCCGCCCAGGCTGGAGTGCAATGGCGCAATCTCGACTCTCTGCAGCCTCAGCCTTGAGGGCTTAAGCGATCCTCTCACCTCAGCTTCCCGAGTAGCTGGGACCATAAACGCCGGCTCCGCACCCCCGCTATATTCGTTCTTTAATATAGTCTCTCAGCTTGTTCAGCTGCCACTTCTGTGCAGCTGGTTAGCCAGATCGGTGAAAACAAGGCGAGAAGCGCACACTGACCCTGCAGTGCATCTTGGGAGTTGTAGTCATAACAAATCAATGATCTTGTTAAAACGTGCTTATGTTTTGACCAGATCCCTTATGTGTGGACGCCCTTCAGCAGTACACTACAACGTGGGTCAGTGTACAGAACACATGCTGATAGAAATAATTTCAAAATCTGGATTCATGGTTTTTTTAAATCTACAGGAGACCTCAGAAAATGTACTAAATCATCATAATATAGTACATAACAATAGAGCCAGTTAATCGATGTGATGAATGTGGACAAAATGTATTTTGACTTTAGAGAAAATAACATTGCTGCCTTGGAAGAATCAGAATGCTTCACACAATTTTTGAGCCTGATGTTAGACACTCCAGCCTTCTGTCCAAGCCTCACCCTTTGGTTATTCCTCAGGAAGACTAAACTTGGGAAGAGGATTATGCAGACCCTGGAGTCAGGCTTGGCTTTTGGGGTAGGGAATTCTAGAGTGCCCACAGCATGGTTTGAAAAAGGGAGAGTGGGCTACACGTGGGTGCAGTCCCATGATTCCATGGATTTCAGACCCCTCCAAAACACAGGGCCTAGTGCTTGCCCAAGTCTGAGGGCCCCCCACAACCACATTTCCCCAGCAGATGTTCTTTAATTCAGGGAGTCATCAAAGTTCCACTTCAAAGAGCTGTTAACCAAATAAGCCCACAATCTTCCTTTTTTGTTGTTGTTTTGAATAAGTAATGCCTTTACACATACGAAATTAAAAAGACAGGCTGGGCATGGTGGCTCACACCTGTAATCCCAGCACTTTGGGAGGGCGAGGCGGGCGGATTGCCGGAGGTCAGGAGATCGAGACCAGCCTGGCCAACACGGTGAAACCCCGTCTCTACTAAAAATATAAAAATCAGCCGGGCGTGGTGGCGGGGGCCTGTAATCCCAGCTACTTGGGAGGCTGAGGCAGGAGAATCGCTTGAACCCGGGAGGCAGAAGTTGCAGTGAGCCAAGATTGCGCCACTGCACTTCAGCCTGGGTGACAGAGTGAGAGACTGTCAAAAAAAAAAAAAAAGCAAAGGTATATAGTGAAAACGAACTCTTCTTTTTTAGTCTTTGTCTCCTGGCACTCATGGAATTTTCCTCTTGGAATCACCTCTATTCCATTTTCCTGTGTATGTTGCCAGAGCAGGGCTGGCTTCATGGAGGTGACCTGTACAGATAGGCACTTGATTTAAGTTTTGCTATCACTAACTTGAAATTCAGAAGTTTCTGAACAAGGGCCCTGCAGTTTTATTTTGCACTGGGTCCACAAAGTATGTATCTAGTCCTGTTCCAGAGATATTCTATGCATATACAGGTAACTATATATAAATGTGTATGTAGTGGTCCAGTAGTGGTCCGGGGCATGTTAGGAACTGGGCAGCACAGCAGAAAGTGAGTGGCCAGGGAGCCAGCATTTCGGCCTGAGCTCCGTCCCCTGTCAGATGAGCAGGGGCATTAGATTCTCGTAGGAGCAAGAACCGTATTGTAAACTGCACATGCAAGGGGTCTTAAGTTGTGCACTCCTTATGAGAATCCAACTCCCCCCTTCCATGGAAAAATTGTCTTCCACAAAACCTGTCCCTGGTGTCAAAAAGGTTGGGGACCTCTGTAGTAGGCTATGCCATCTAGGTTTGTTTAGGTACATTCTATGATGTTCACACAACAAAAAATCACCTGATGATGCATTTTTCAGAAAGTATCCCCATTGTTAAGGGACACATGACTGTAATGGAATACTATTCTTTTCCTTCCTTTTTATTTTATGTATTTTTTGTGGAGACAGGGTCTCTACATATTGGTGCCCAGGCTGGTCTCAAACTCCCGAGCTTAAGGATCTGCCTGCCTTGACCTCCCAAAGTGCTGGGATTACAGGTGTGAGCCACCATATCTGACCCTCTGACCCTCACTTTTTTCTTTTTTTTTTTTTTTTTTGAGACACAGTCCAGGCTGGAGTGCAGAGGCGTGATCTCAGCTCACTTCACCCTCCGCCTCCCAGATTCTAGCGATTCTCCTGCCTCATCCTCTTGAGTAGCTGGGATTATAGGCAACCACCACCACACCCAGCTAATTTTTGTATTTTTAGTAGAGATGGGGTTTCACCATGTTGGTCAGGCTGGTCTCAAACTCCTGACCTCAGGTGATCCACTTGCCTCAGTCCCCCACAATGCTGGGATTACAGGCGTGAGCCACCGCACCTGGGACAGCCTTTTTTGGGTCAGTGTATATAGAGCTAACTCATTCTACTTAATGGCTACATAGTATCCCACTGTGATAGCCGCAAAGGCAGACAAATCCTAGGCAGACAGGGGCAGGTCCCTGGTGAAACCATTCCTTCAAGCCGAGGACAGTTTAAAGGCTAGCCACAAATCCAGGATAAATCCACAGACCGGACTGAGAACCTCTCTTCCCATTTGGTGTGCTTTCTTCTGATTGATCCCCACCCTTCACCTATTTTACACATACCTACCCTTCCCTAATTGTTTTTTTACACTGTCATGCCTACCTTTGAGTGGTGCCGTTGTTTTAGCCTTTTTTGCATACTCACAAACCAATCAGCATGCACTGCCTCATTCTGAGCCCATAAAAGCCCTGGACTTAGCCACACTGAGAGAGAGACCATCTGACTTTGAGTGAGGGAACACCCTTGCATCCTTTCTTCCCTGAGAGCTGTTTCATAGTTCAAATAAAACTCTTCTCCACCCTCCTCACTCTTTGTCAGCGTAACCTCATTCTTGGACATGGAACAAAAACTCGGGACCCACCAAACGCAGATACAAAGAAGGCTGTATACACTGTGGCCCTTTGCCCTCTACTGGTGGAGGGCAACCACTCCACGCAATGCGATGGGAAACAGCAGTGGGGCAGAGCCAGTTCTGAAGCCACGGGCCCGAGTGGGGCAATGGGACTAATAGAGCTGTTAACATGCCACTGTCCATTGGGCTGCAGACGGTGGAACTAAAAGAGCTCTTCGCATACTGTAACACCCCCTTCTGGGCCTTCAGGGTCATGAGCCCCCCTGTTTGGGTGCCACCACATTTCCCTCAATGCGACACACCTGGTCCATCTGCAAGCCCCGCGGAAAGCCCACTCTTGCCCTGCACTCACTCACTCACACACTCCCTCCTGCCAGGGGCTGAGGCTGTGGTGGCTGTAGGATTCGAGTTTGAGCACAAGCCGAGTAGATGGGGTGTTGCCAGCCAGAGGTCTCCGGGTGTCAAAGTGGTCAAGAAAAATCCTGCATCAACTGTATAGATGTACCCCAATTTATTTAACTTATTTCTTGTATATTTTTGTCATTTCCAATGGTTTGTAATTTCAAACAATAAATGATTGTGCAAAAGTTGTTTTATGGGTGCCAATATCTTTGTAGGTTAATTTCCTGGGGCAAAGTTTTTCAACCTAAACACCATTGACATTTGGGGCTGGATAATTTGTTGTGAAGTGCTGTCATGTGCATTATATGATGTATCCTGTCCACCCCTATATATTATGAAAAATATTTCAGTGGCCAGAATCCTTTCAATGACTTAAAAGGCCCTTTTTATCCTGCTTCTGCCTACCTCTCCAGCTGCATCTTAGAACCCAAACAGTCTTTTTTCAGACTCATGCCCACGCTTGCTGTAGTGTCTTTGCACAGGTATTCTCTTTGTCTGGAGTTTTCTTCCCCATCAATCATCTCCTAATAACTCCCATTTTATCTTTTAAATGTTGCCACTATTATCACTTCCTTGGAGGATCCTTCTTGGACTCCCTAACTAGTTCAAATCCCTTGGGTGTGTGTTTTTTTTTCCTTTGACAAAAGCCACATTCGAACAAATCCCCCTTGGAATGTTACGATTGCCAAAAAATCCAATTTAAACTAGTTTAAATGATAAGAGAATTTATTGGCTCACATAAATGAGAAGTCTGAAGATAAGGTGAACCTCAGGTTGATTTGATTGAGTGACTTAACAGTATCAGCAAGAACTTGATTTCCTTCTGCCTTTCAATTTTCTTTCTGCTGTCAGATTTATCCTAAGGCTTACTCCTTTTGTATCATAAAATGGTGGCCAGGAGCTCCCAAGGTTATGTAGTTCTTTGTCCATATCAAAAGACAGTTTCTTTCACATATTTCACAGTTTCAATGTGATTAAACTAATTTAGGTCACATGTCCACCCCTAAACCTAAAGTTCTGTGGTATAGAGAATGTCAAGCACTGATTGGCTGGGGCAAATCAGGGCCTATCCCTGGAACTGGAAGTTACATTAATCCCACCTAAATCCCATGAATGTTACTCTGTGAGGTATACGTAAAATTGATACTAGGAATACAATCAGAGAATCCATTATATCCTGTTACATACTCATAGCACCACGCACCCTTCCATTGTAGCAGCTGTCATACTTGTAGCTTTATATTTATTTGTATGATTTCTGATTAATAACTGTCTTCTCATCTAAATGAAAAACCTCTATTAGTCCAGGGAACTGCATTTTTTCTCACCATTGTATCTCTAGGCTAGCATAGGGTGTCAAAAATAGCAGGTTCTCAATAACTGTTCAAAGAATGAAACTTTCCTTATAAGTTTACTACTCAATTTGACATTCCCTTTAGCAGGCAATTTAACAGCTACCATATCAGACTTATATTACATCTTTGAAAGTCCCAGACTGAGATCTCTAATTTCTATCTCCAGGCAGTCAGTTCGTGACACACCACTGAGTAAGATTCATGGAATAAATCTGACCATATTACATTCCCTTGACATCTTTCAAGTGTTTCTGATTTCTTTTAGGATAAAGTTCTTTATGACGCCATTCAAAGCTCTGCATGGTTTGGTCCCTATCTGGCTTTCTATTCTCAAGAGCAAAACTATAGACTTCTGGCCTTCTTGACGGTGATCTTTCTCTTTCAATCATAGTCCCTCTCCAACCACTCACCAAATATCAGTTTTTAGAGGTCTTTTCTCTTGCAGGGAGTAGAGAGGGGGCAGTAATAGTTTATTCAGGGATTCCCCATATC